AGATAGCCACCCGCAGGTCTGGCATCGAATGGCCAGACAGGTTAAAGTGTTCTCCCACTGGTTTTTGAGTATTATGATTCCTGATGTCAGATTTGTGTCCATTAATTCTTTTGCGTAGAGACTGTCCGGTTTGGCCAATGTACATGACAGAGGGGCATTGCTGGCACATGATGGCATATATCACATTGGTAGATGTGCAGGTGAACGAGCCCCTGATGGTAAGGCTGATGTGATTAGGTCCTATGATGATGTCACTTGAATAGATATGTGGACAGAGTTGGCATCATAGGACCTAATGGAGATTTCCATTACTTGCATCTGAAGAAGTGAGGTTCTTACCCATGAAAGCTTATGCTCCCAATACTTCTGTTAGTCTTTAAGGTGCCACAGGACCCTCTGTTGCTTTTTACAGATTCAGACTAACACGGCTACCCCTCTGATACTTGAGCCATTACAAACATTGAATCTATCTCCCCTTGTAAGTATTCTCACACTTCTTATCAAACTGTCTGTACTGGGCTAGCTTGATTATCACTTCAAAAAATTTTTTCTCTTACTTAATTGGCCTCTCAGAGTTGGTAAGACAACTCCCACCTGTTCATGCTCTCTATATGTGTGTATATATATCTCCCCAATATATGTTCCACTCTATATGCATCCGAAGAAGTGGGCAGTAGCCCACGAAAGCTTATGCTCTAATAAATTTGTTAGTCTCTAAGGTGCCACAAGTACTCCTGTTCTTTTTGTAAGATCAGTAACGTTAAACATATAATACAGAGGGCCAGGTCCTTAGATGGTGTAAATCAGCGTGGTGGCCTTGACTTCAATGAAGCGATGCCAATTTACACCAGCAGAGGGCCCGATTCATGTTGTATAATGTAATTTACGTATCTCTGAAAAAGTTTATTCTGTTCCGTCCATTATATTATTTTTAAGGAAAGTTTTCAATTTACCTGCCTTAAATTGTTCCTTAATGTCACAGTTTATTTTGAATGATGGTCTATAGAAATCCTTCCCAAGCATGACAGCAAAAGTAGCTGCTTCTTCACTGTACACCGCAGGCTCAAATTACTGAAGGGGACCCTTCTGAGGTGAGGAGCTGGGGATGTGCTTTCCTCCAGGACGAGCCGGGTTAGGCTCCTCATGAAGGGAGAACTTCAACTCTGTGGCTGTGGAGGTTCCCTGGCAGTGGCACCTGTTCAAGTCTGTGGCACCAGGGGGTTAAATATGGGGGGAGACTAGTGTGGTGCACAACCCAGCTCCACTGGGTGTCCCGGCACAGCACAGTGTAAGGAGGAGTAGATCCTGAGGCTCCACTGCTGTGTTAATCCCCTGGTTTTCATTCCCTAGAGCAGGGGAAACTGGGGCCCTGCAGAGCTGCCTCAGCCCAATGCCTCTGCAGAGTGACTCTGTGGGCTTCTTCTCCCAATGGCCTTATGGAGATACTCAGCACCCAACTTGCTAATTGGCCAGGGCACAGGATCCCTGAATCTGGTCTTATGTGGTTACAAAAAATAAGAATATTTTTGTTGCTAGAAGGATTTAATTGGGATTTAATTGGGGCTGGTCCTGCTTTGAGCAGGGGTTGGACTAGATGACCTCCTGAGGTCTCTTCCAACCATAATCTTCTATGAAGTCTTAGACACAGATGTCTCACTGGAATTGCTGCACAGTAAATAAGTCTCTTGCAGAGGACCTCGTGAACCTACTGATTGCATTTTCCTCCCTTTTCCCCATTCCCTCACCTGGTGGAAGAATGAGGTGGCATAGGTGGCTTTTGTTGGAACTGCATCACTGAGGTGGCTCTTGAATGACTGTAGGTTTTCCAACTCTTCCTGCAGCTGCTCATAGTAGCGGGACTTGTGGTAGTAGATGGGCAGTGGATTCTTGTCACTACAAGAGCTGCTATGAGAATCGGAATCTCTCACTGAGGCTGCAGACCAAATGGGACAGCCCTAGGTCAAAACTTTCCATTCCTGCTTCAGCTTTGCTTTTGAAGGATTTTGAAAGTGTTAGCCAACTCCCAGAAAAGCGACAAAGATTGCTAATAATCACAACTGCATTTTTATGGTCATCGCTGCTAGTAACTTTCTAGTCATCATTTGCATACCCTTAAACACAACTGAAAAGCAAAGAGAACCACAGCAATCTTCATATGAATTAGATGATGCCTTAGCAGGTCTGCTTGCTAAAGGGAAAATATAGCATAAAAATGTTATGCTGAGACCGCATCTGTATGTGCGTAACACTGGCAAATGACTGAGGTAGAAGGGAATTAGGACCATGCGTGAACAAGAATTATTTTGAGGAGAATCCAGTGTGTTGTGTTCAGACTCTGAGCTAAATGCTGGAACGGGCACTGAAGAAGTTTGGCTACCTCTATTTTACAATTCCTATATATTTTTTTGTTGAAGTGTATTTGCAAGACATTGTCCTAGCTGCTGCCTCACCACAACCTCTTTCTTTCTCAGCCAATGTAATTTTACAGCACTCACCTAACTCTGGACTAGGCTGGGACTGCATGATCTCTCCACCAATGACATCCAGGAAGAAGTCCAAAGGATTGTTAAATGCTTCACACTGGTAACCTGAAATACATCATATCACAAGAGAAAATCAAAGCTAACCCCACACCCAACTAGCAATGTGAGAAAATTACAAAGTCTCTGTGCTAAATATCATCCAAAATACTATATCTAGCTTCAGGACATTTTGTGGCACAGAAGTTTTCCTTTTGACATTTTGGAAAAATAGACAGTTACAATTAAAACCTGTGAAAATCTGAGTTCACACATTTTAATATGATAATTTGTCTTGATATTGAGATTTTCAATGAACCTATTTTCACTCAAAAATGCTTCTAATATTGAATGCAAAAAACATTGAGCCATTGAGATTTTCAATGAACCTATTTTCACTCAAAAATGCTTCTAATATTGAATGCAAAAAATGTGAAATTACATCAAGTAGGACTTTAAAAAAATTAAGAAGAAAATGCAAAAACCTTTCATTTCAAGGGTTTTGAATTACATCGCAAACATTTTGTACTGCCCCATACCCAGCCTTCCCAGCGAGCTAAAGAGCCATTCAGACTAACCAACCAATCTCATGTCAAACTAGTGCCTCCTCAGCAACCAATAATTACCTTAGCCAAACCAGCCTTCTCTTAAAATACATCAACCAGCCTGCCCCTCTCACAGATCAGTCTTTCACAGCCAATTTCACTCCTAAACCATCTTACTAGTCAACACAATATTTCACAAAGGAAACTGAAATAAACCTCTTGTTTTTTTCAAATGGACCTGTCTGTCTTCCTGATGCATCATGCTTCTGTACATCCTCTAATCTTGTGTGAATTGAACTCCTTTTGGGGCCCATCTACACTGCTTCTTGGATCAGTTAAAAGACGTTGCTGTGCATTGATGCCCGTCATTCCTCTTCCTCAGGGTGCATGTGACACCTCTGTAGGCAGCACTTTCTTATGTTTTCCCCATCTGCTTCCCCCACTTAATCTACTATCTCTTAAATACACCCAGTCTCTGCTGTCTTTGTGAATTAGAGTCCTGGACAAAGAGTTAAATACAGCTCTTTTGCATGGGCAGTGCCAAGCACAACCATGAAGCAATGAAGTTGGCCTTTGCACACTGTGAGTTTGCTGATGCAGTTAAGATTTGAATCAAAGCAGTTTTCTGTGGTGTCCTTGAATAGTGAACTGTTTATCTGTCTGTCCAAGGTTCTTCTAGTGCATCCTTTTATTAGCACTAGGTTTGTGCACCTAGAAACCTTGACTGCTACTCTTAAGGCTCCATTAAAAAAACACAACCATGTGTAGCTGCCCTGTAGCAGTAGGAAATATAATTCTCATACTGCTGCAGTCTCAACCCCTACCTATACTGTTGAAATAGCCAGTGGACTCTTCGGCTGGTCCTGCATACATTATTTCTCCCTTGTTCATCAGCGTTAGATGATCAAGCAGACGGAAGATGGAATAACGTGGCTGGTGAATAGAGAAAATCACAGTTCTTCCTTTCCTGGAGAGTCTGCAAAACAGAAGAAGCACATGGCGAATATCACAGTCCCAGGCCAGCTAGAATTTAGGCCTTAATGGAGTGGAGCATCAGAAACAGAGAATGGCTCACTGGTGCAGCAGCTGCATGATGGAATTAGCTGTGTTGGCATCCAGTCCCGTAGTTGGCTCATCCAGGAATATCAGTGAAGGTGCAGTGATTAGTTCCATGCCAATGCTGCACCGCTTCTTCTCACCCCCTGAGACACCACGCAAGAACTCAGTGCCAATCTGATACCACAGAGAAAAGAAAGGAAGCAAAGAACCTCAGAGAGGAGGCAGATGAGTTTAAATACAGGCCATAGTGAGTGGGTTGATCTGAGATGGACATGAATGGTAAACATATAGTTAGGGGCGCTCCTGGTCCTTTCAGTCATCTTCCCACATTTTAACAGGGGGAGCTGTATCTTCTCAAGTGTACCCTCATTCTGAGCTCCAGAAGCCATGCTGGCTTTTCCTTATCATATCATGTTCACTAGATGTATTAGAATTCCATTTGTCATTATTTCAAACAATTCACTTGGTATTGAAATAATTCTTACTGGTCTGTATTTCCCAGGATCAGGATCACCCTAGCCAGGGGCCAAACTGGAAACAAAGAAGGTGTGGTTCTCATACAAGATCTGCCCATAAACCAAAGAGCCCACCTCTAAGCTCTGTGAGCTAACAAGAGCATAGCATTGCTCTCTTACCGGACCTGCCCCACTCCCCTCTCATCTCCATGTCTCCTTCCCCTAAGGGGGAGGGAGGAAGAGAGAAATGGCAGAAGAGCCCTGCATCTCCAATGTGTAACCCACCCTAGAAAATGGTGGGACTTTGTCCCTCTCTAATGGCTAGCCCATATGAAACATTTGAACCTGCTTCCAGCTGACAGATTCAGTGCTTTAGCTTAGGCGGTAAAACCTCATGGTTTCAGCACGGAAAGCCCCAGATTGAAACCCTGCTGTTGGCCTAAGCAGGGTTGGATGTGCAAAAGCAAATACCTGTGTGTGCTCTGTTCACCCTGTGCATGCAGAGGATAGAATCTATATGTGCAACTCAAATCACACACCTCTGTCACTGTTAGTGTGCAAAAAGGGTCCTATCAGGTGCTTGTGCACACACATAAGGAAGCTACTGCTTGAAATGAGGGGTGTTGTAGCCATGTGAGTACATGTGCAACCTCTACCTTGTTTTAATAAAAAGATAGTACAGTAACCTTGGTGTCAGCACACTCCTGTAGCCCCAGCTCCTGTATCACTGCATTGACCTTCAGCTGCTTTTCTGCTTCACTGTTCCGGCTCTGTGGGAGGCGCAAGCTGGCAGAGAACTGAAGGTTCTCACGGACAGTGAGTGTTCCCATCAGAATATCCTCCTGTGGCAGCACAAAACAATGGGAAACACTTGCTTTAAGAAGGAAAATCAGCCAGTGCTTTGAGAGAAAAGACCTCCACAGTGGGTCCTAGTACTATCAACACTGTTCTAATAATGTGAAGTCCTTACAGATAGACTGTACCCAAAGGGGAGTCCCGGCAAGAGGAATATAGAGGTCTAATGGCTTCCATAGAGTTCTCAATGGGAGAAGGAGACAGAGACTTGTAGTCTCTTAAGGAAAAGACAATGCTCCAAATGGAGAAAATGCCTATGATGACAGAGTCACGTGGTTATGGCTGAGTGAAGTAATATTTCAGGATCCTAAATGGCTACTCTGCTGTAGCCATAAGGAATACACATCATGAGTCCTTGCCACTGCATGTCCTGGGCATTTCAGGCTCAGCATACTATTCTAGTGAAAAATCAGATAGGCCTGTGCACAAACTGGCACCATGGATTCTGCCCTGACTCACCTGTACTATGTAGGCAGAGCATAGGTGAAACTGTGAGTTTGCTGGCTTCCCATCCATGAAGATTTGTCCACTTCTAAGCCCCTTCGGGTCCTTCCACCCCGCAAGTACATCAAGGAGTCTGAAGAAAAAAGGGTGACTTTTCACACAGTTTCTCAGTACAGGGCTTCTCCCTATATCACGCCAGCCTATGGACCCTTCCAGCCCAGTCCTGCATGCACTCTCCAAGTTCATTCAGCTCTGGATTTCCCAACACTGCTCTACTAAAGTAACTAAGCAATTGCTTTCAGGAATCAATTTTGTCCTAGAGGTATTGCTGTTTCCTGGGGTGAGAGAGAAATGAATCCCAGTATTCACACTCTGGTCTGCCAATGTACCCGAACCCAGAGCTGCAGATACCAACCCACTCTAGGGTGGGTGGGGATTAGATCTCAGCCCTTTTTTCTTCTTTGCAATAGAAGAGACATCAAAAGTGATGCAAGAGGCATTAATTTACACAGCCACACTTACGAGGTTTTACCACTTCCGGTTGGTCCTAAAATGGCATTCATTCCAGGCTTCATAATGCCACTGTGAAAAGAAGAAGTATTATAAACTGTTTAGGAAATGATTTCACATGACAAGAAACCCAGAGTGGGCAAGCGGGGTAAGTGAAAGCAAGAGGCAGTTATTGGCTGAAAAGGGAATGAGACACAAAACAGGCTTTATGATAGAGTATATGCTATTTGTGAAAAGTAAACTCCAGGATTGGCTTGGGCACAAATGGCTGCCCATGCTGTGAGATGTGAACTGAGCTGTTCTCAGAGCCGGTACAGACCCCCAAAGGAATGTTTGGGTCATTTGTTGTGATTTGGTGTGGGGCATCTGCACATGGTCATGGAGAGCTGGAGGTGGAGTTATGAATATAATTGTACGAGGGTAATTTCCAAAGAAAAATACCCACTCGGGCCCAATCAAAATGTTGCTGCTAAGATCAGCTTCCTGGCTTGCCCTTCTGACCACATCATCTCCCACCCTCTTTTAACTCTCTTCACAGGCTCCCCTTTCTCCACTACATCATAGAGCTCCTAATTCTTACCTTTAAGGCTGTTCACAATTTAACCTCACTTTGCCCACTTACTTTGTCTTTATAGTATTGTCAGCTGCCCTCTTTCCTCCACTGATTATGCCCACTCTCACAGCCTATTTGTTCTCTTCTCCCAAAAGCACCTTTACACCTTCTTCCATGACTCCCCTTATGTGTGAACCACCTTCCCCGAATCTAATCCATAAAGTCACTACTCCATCCTCCTTCAGATCCCTCCTTGAGATCACTCCTACTGTGATCCTACCAAACATGGGCAGGTGATACTTAGCAAGCAGGCGGGAAACTGGGATTATTGTTACCAGTATTTTCATTTAGCTCAAAACTCACCCTTTAAACATACATGTGAACCTTCAAACTATGCACACAGTTAGTGCCTGTAGATATGTGTGAACACTACTGTCACCCCAGCCCCACCGTCCCTCCATTTGTTTGTTACACCCACTTCTGGCCTCTAATCTTAAACTTAAATTGTAAGCTCTTTAAGATAGGGACTGTCTCATCTGTCTGGACAATACATAGCACAGTGGGGATCTGATCTTAGCTGGAACCCCTTTGTGCTACTAAAATATACATAATAATAAATGACAGGCATACTAAACACGTAGGTGTTGTGTGTTAGCTGAATCTTGGGCTCCAGTGATTGTTCATAGATCTCCTATATCCCAAGCAAAGGCAGAGCTCATCTGCTGATGCTGGCAATTAAATGATTCATAATAGTGTTACTGCAGCAGATACGAGGAACCAATATGAGGGGTGTTTTCTGGGAGGCATTCCAGCTCTCATAAAGTATGCACACCAGCCTGGTCAGGGTTTCAGAGGGCATCAATTAATCCCACAGCAAAGCACACGCACTCACTGCAGAATCTGCCCTTTGATACTTCTAGACTTCGGAATCCATGGCAGTGCCAGCCTCTTATGTGCTAGTTCAGCTTTAACACACTTACCACTTACTCTTGCAAGCCTGGGATTTGGCATCTGTAGCTTTGTGCCTTGAAGCCCCAGGAATAACTTGGGGTTGCTAGCTGGCTGGTCCAATGAAGCTCTGGGAGGATAGCTGAAGAGATGTGATGGGTGATGACAGAGGGAAATGATAACTACTATAGACATGAATGTCCCTTAGCAATTGATAAGTGCAGGGGTACTGGAGTCACTCCCTGATTGACCGGACATACAGTGGGTGCATAAGGGTGTTTTGTCTTCAAATGGTTGGTGTTAGGAGGAAAGGGGGTATTGCTCTGTTGTGCCATGAAGGAAAACCTTTCTGAAATTCCCAGTCTGCCTGCTGTCCCACAAACTGGCAGTGTAATACAGCCCGTGTTGTTGTTTATTATTTAAGCCCCTTGTTCTAGGCACTGTACAAACATACAATAAAGAGATGGCCCCTGCCCCAAAGAGCTAGCATGCTCTGCCTCTTGAGGGAGGGGTGCCTTGTGTTCTTCATCAATGACCCCTTCAGTCAATTAAAGATCAGCCCCGATGGGTTGATAAAGGCACCCCTTGCTCCTCTGCAAGAAGGATGAAGGGACTAAAAGATGGGGATCGATAAAAAAGGAGGAAAGAGAGATTGGGTTTCTTGGGGATCTGGATATTTCTGCAGAGGTAAAACGATGGTTCCCTCAGGATTGAGGAGCTTGTATTCCTAGGACACAGCTGAATTTCTGAGCTAGCTTTGGTTGGACCAGACACGGAGAGTCCCACCTGCTTGCACTGGCCCCAGAAACATTAAAAATGTCATTTTGTTTTCAACAATAAATTGCTCATGAAACCACTGACACACAAACAGTGCTATGAATGTCACTGCCCCCATGGAAACCTGACCGGTGGTGCCTGGGGCCTGCATGGGAGGGCTGAGAGCTGGGTCTCCAGGTAAGACTGGGTTATAATAACTGGGCCAGAGGGCCTGAGCATGATCTCCCCCAAGAAGTTGAAGCTCACACAACAGCATACACACGATCCAACAAAGCCTGTTGTGAGCACTGGCTGCCTCTTCCTTTCCAAACTGAATTTAAATCACCAGTACTGATCTAGGAGGCAATGGTCGGGGTCCAAGCTGCCTCACTGATCACCTATCTTCCCCACTGACCCCTATTCGCTACTCTCAGAGCTAGCAATGCTCCACAGAGGTGCTTCAATCAGCCTGGCTCAGGATAAGGCTCTCCCGTGGATGGGACACTGCAGGAGCACCTTAGTACCGGACATCAGGCAGAATCCAACCCTCTTTGATAAGACCTTCCCTGGTGATGGCATCTCCCTTGGACTATTGGAGAGATTGGAAAGGAGGAAGAAGAAAGAAAGGAAGAAAGAAAGAATAACTCTATAATTACCCAGAGAAGCAGACAGACATTTAGAGCACACTTAGTGTGAGTATTAATTTTTGTGCAGTACTTAGACATTGCTGTGATAGGAACCATAGACAACTCTGAGACAGATAACTAATATTATTATGCAATACAGTTGTGCTCTGTCAAATATGGGGTGTTCAATACTCTGATATTTAAGATTTCCTATGTCTCTATGGCCCTAGAGCCTCCGTGATTCCTTATTTTGGCTATGCTTTTACAAGGAAGAACCATTCTTTACCTGACATCCCTGAGAATTTCCTTTTCTTCTGCTTCTTTCGAGAAAATGGACTTGCTGATGGTGACAAAGTAACTGATGTTTTGGAAAGCCAGAGTTGGCCCAGGAACATTCAGCTGGGTAACAGCTTCCTGAGAATCAGAGAGTTCCATCCCTGGGAGTCAAAGATCAGTTCAAATTGGAGGGGAGAGGGAATGTCCAGGTGTTTCCCTTTGGATTAAAAACCTCTTCAGAAAAAAACAACAACAACAAAAAACCCAGAAGATTTTGTCAGTGTCCTTGCCACCAAATCTCCGTATTGCTCCGTCTCTGTTTTCTCATGTCCTATTGTTGGGAAATCTTGCTTTTATCTGTAAAACATGCTGCAAAATCTTAGTAGAGCCAAAGTCCTTCTCCACCAAACTGCAATATAATTGTACAGCCAATAGTATGTTCAGCAGGGTTACAAATACTGATATCAGACTGTAAAATACAATAGGCCAGATTCTTCCCTGATGAAACTCCACTGACTTCACTGGTCTTTATACCAAGAATGAGTTTGGCCTAATATGTGGGACATCACAAATGAATGGAACTTTGACACTAGAAAATAACAATAGAACAAAATAATTTGTGAAAGGACCAAAAAGAGGGAATCCTCAGCAAGGAAAGGTGCACCCTGACCTTTACCTGCTGCACATCTCACTGTCTCCCTGCCTTTGTCAGTCCTGGAACTCCACAGGGCTCTGCCTCAATGTGTGACAGAAACAGTAAGAAAATTGCAAGGTCTGTGAACTTTATAATGCACTGGAATTTCAGCCAGAGAGACACTGGTGAAAGAGGCCCAGGTGGCTCCTTAAATGACATTTCCTTTAGTGTGCAAAGAGGTGGAAGGGGCGGGGGAGTGTCATAATCCCATTTGGACAGTAGGTGGCACTAATTACTTACAGTTTTGACCTTTGCTTTTGGCATCGGGTCTGTTCCCAGCAGGCAAAGAGTGTATCCAAGTAAATCTACTGTGCTGTCTGCTTGGAGGCATTTTAGTCCTAGACAACTTCAGAGTGATGCAAAGTAAAGGCAGGGCCCCTTACTGTGGTGTGGCATGTGTGTGTGCTGTGTATATAGGCCATGATGAAGGGGGTTTATATATTTGAGATTTCTGAAGGCTGAGGGGGCACAAAGAGAATCTCCTTCCAGGCACTTCCTTCCTGTCATTTGTACAACAAATGTAACATAAGATGTGAAATGCAGGGGGAAAGGATCAAATTCAGAAGTGTCCAGGGGCAAGGACCCGGAGGAGTCTGGAGAGGTGCAGCAATCTGCACCGACCATCTTATCCAGCAGAACCTCACTAATTGTACAACAAGGAGACCTCCTGCAAATAAGGTTGCCAACAGTCCCCTTATTTAAATAGAAAATTGCCTGTCCTGTACTAAATCAGTACAGGACGCCTTTTAGCCTGTATTTCAACAGCAGGGGGCTGTACTCATGGGTGCATCTTTCCACTCCCCTCCCGACCCTGGCCCTTCAATGCTGCACAGGAAAGGCAGACATGGCCATGTTCAGGAGCTAGGGTTGGGAGGGGTGTGGAAAGCTATACCCAAGAGTACTGGCTCCCTGCTGGAAGGGGCCCCCTGCTGATTCCAGCCCTTAGCCCAGTCTGCTTTCCCTGTGCAGGCTCTGTCTGGCAAGGCAAGTGAGTGGGGATGTGTGCTCTGGAACTGCGCTGAAGGGCCAGGATCAGGAAGGGGCTCTATCTGGCAGGTGGTCAGTACTCCCCGGGTGTAGCCTCCCTGCTCGCAGAGTCTCTGCCAACATCCCCAGCAGGATGCACAGTGCCGCAGCAGGCAAATACCAGCCACTGCAGCCTCCAAGTCAGCTGCTGGCACCATGTGGAACCTGATCAGGAGTCGTAGCAGCTGCTCGC